CAAATTCAAGCAGGATTAATACTAATTGGGGTTATTTTAATCAACTTTATTTTTTAACCACAATATTATACTTAAACTATCAATTTTACGTACTTAAATGGGAATTAAGATAATCTTTCAAACTCAACCTATTGGCACCGTTAGTGGAAAGCGTCCTTGGTTTGGATAAAGGTAAAAATGAGGCAAAAGGTAGGGATTAAAATATTATGAAAGAAAACTTTCATGAATAGTAAAAATTTTAGTATTATTTTTGGAAAATTTCCATCCAAATATTCTTTTCTTTTTCTTTTCCTTCCGATCAGTTTATAGCTACCCCGGAGGTTCTAAAAGCTTAAAGCTGTCGTAAAAATCTGCTTTGAGTTCCAAGGAAACTATGCAATATACTTCTCTCAAGAGTTTATATCCACAGAAAATAGAGCATAATTATCTTGTTTGATTAATAAAATCCTAAATTCTTTTGACCTATTTTAAGCATAAGAATGTGATTAAAAAAAGGAATGATTTGATAACATGAGAGAGAGATCAGAGAGAGAGAGAGAGTTCAATCAGACAAGGCAAGCACTTACCTTAGTGGCATTTGGAGCTCAACAACTTTATTGCATAAACAAAAAGACGACATTAAGGAAAAAAAGAAATCCATAATAATACAGCTTGTGAAATGAGTGTCACTTGTTAATTATAATGATCATGGTTCTTCTATACACATTTTTCATAATCTTATTTTTTCAAAATAGCATCCACAGAATTTGGAGAACTTGTTCCTTTCTTCTTTTTTCATAATGAATAGAACTTGTTCCTCCTTTTTGATAATATAAGGGGCCAACTTTTTCAGTTCAGAAGGTGGGCATGTTTGAAAAGGATCTTGTAACGTTGACATATAGACATGCATATTGCTTTGATTAATTAGTTGGTTATGCCTCTTTCTCACGCATTTGCCTTATATGGGAGCCAAAAGGAAAAGCACTTTTAGGGTTTTGTTTCTTCATGCCATGGAAGAGTTTTCTGAATGAAAGGTCACAACAAAAGAAGATGGAGAGAAAAATGAAAGATAAAGCAAACAAAGTACATGTTCTAGTTCAATTTAACAATTTGCTAGACGCGCCAACAATGATTTTGTAGCCTAGTGACATATATATTTTTTAATAAGTGGAAGATTATAGATTCAATCTCACTTATAGCCTCAAATAAAAAAAATTATACAGATTAAAAGCTATTTAACTCATTTGGGCAAATTAAGAAAATCAACTAAATTAATTATAACAAAATATAATCTGACCTTTTTGAAATATACTCTATAGCAATATATTATATATCACGTGATATGTCAGGTGAATTAACTTGAGAAAATGATAAATATAAGGAATAAATTAAATTGAAATCTTATATTTAGAATTAAATATAATATAATATCTCAATAACTTCTCTATTAGAGAGACAGAAGGGAGCATTATGATAAAAGTACAGAAAAAGTTAGGATGTTTGAAAAAATGAGATGTACTTGGTCCACTCTCCTATATCTATTTGTCACATGCTCCTGAATAGTATTTAGCAATTGTGGAGAATCCATGCCGAACAGTTTTCTGGATTTTATCCTTCTCTTTCATGTAGGTCCCCCAATTACGTAAAACTCAATTAATTTGTGCTCTATGTATTTACTTTCTTATGAATTTATGCTATCTCTTAACAGTTTGACTAAATTATGTTTGACATATGCTCTAGTGGAAAAACAGTCTCATATATTATTTGGATCGAACACTATTTTGTACATGGAAAAGTTGTATACTCCTTTTGTAGGTTCAAGAATTAATATTAGAAAAGGTTCTTTTGATTAATTGTAATGTGTGTTTGTGTGTGTGGACACGCATGTGCCTGTGAATTGTTCTGTTTACATCTATCCAAAGATAAACCCATCAAAAACTAACTTTGAATTATATTGACTTTTATTTAGAAAAGATAACAATTATGAGAATTTTTGTGATTTAAATAGGTGATTTTCATGTTAATAAATGTCGAAATATAATGGTTCGTTTCAGTATTTTAGAACCTTTTCAATTAAAAATAATAAAGAATGTTCTTCTTATTATTAAAGAAGGAGATAACATAATACTACATCCAGTCCTACTTAGAAGACATCATTTGTAACTTATAAATAAGGTTTTATAATTAGGACAGAAGGTAGTACTACATGCTTTAATCCTTTGAAAAAGCTGTAAGTCAATTACTTTTGGCATATAAATACAAATTAGAAATTGCGCCTTATGCAACTCCGCCCCATGCAAAGTTAAAATATTAGGACCATTATTGATTGATTGTATTATTTTATATTCATATTGAAATCTATTGATATTAATGCTTGAAAGTAGTTTAAGCTCTATTTGGTATCAACCATTTATGGAAAAGAGAAGGTCTTTTTTCGTTATACATAAAATAAGATATAAAATATCTGTTATTTTTTATTATTCAACAATTATTATTTTATTTTATTACAAACTTCCAATTTAAAGGCAGAAACAATATTTTACATCTAAAACTTTTTCCCTTCATTATATTCTCGTAAAGGATCTTTTACATCCCATTCTTAAAAGGTGAAAACTGAGATTCATAAATTTATTTATTTTTAAATTTTTATAGCTTTTTTGCCACAAATGTTTTAACCTTGAAGCTTTTTTTTTTTTGTTTAAGCACATACAGTAGTATCTTGGAACTTTTTGTTGTGATGATTTTATACTTGATGTCAATGTTTTAGTACGAACCTCAATGCCTATTGTACAAACAATTTAGACAAAAATTCTACGGAATGTACTAAAAATGTCGATCAATTAACTGGAAAAAAGTGCAAGGAGGGGGACATAACTAATTGCAATAAGCTGTCATTGATAATTATATAAGCACGTATTTTTCACCGATTTGTTTCTTAATATTTATAACATATCTATCTTTCTGAAGCACAAGCACTAAAACCCCATTTGGAATCACTTATAAGAGTATTTGATATAAACTGAGATAAAATATTTCTTACATACTTATCTTATATTATCCAATGTCCTTAATATAAAACTCAACTGAATAATTTGAAAAAAATTAAGAAAATCAGTTAAATTAACTATTTGTAATAAATATGTATTGTCATTTTTAAAATGCCCTTACCACTCATATGTATTAGTTTGAACTACCATTTGATGTAACATTTAATATATGTAATTATAAGGACTATTTTAAAAAAATAGATAAGAGACAAAATATATTAAAATATTATATTTGAAACCAAATTAAATATTAAATTAACTTTTCTATTAAAAAAAAACTAGTTATATGGCAAATGACCAAAACCATGGTTTGGGTCAAAAATTTTCCCAAATAAGAAGAAAATAAACAAACCGAGGTTTTGGACTCAAAACCATGCTTTCAGAAAAAATAAATCTATTCTACTTTTAACTCAAATTGGAGAGTGTGATTATATCTATCAGAGTAGATTCCAACAGTAATATGATCTTAACACTCCTCAATTATTTTTCTATAAACATATTTAATCTCATATTTTATAAATATATATACACATATTAATTATTTATTAATTATATTATTTTATATACTATTAATTATATTCGTAAAAAATATATTATAAACAATTTTATTCCTTCAAATTAAAACATATTATAAAATCTATTTTTTACGTAATTATCAAATTAATTTATATCCTTTTTAGTAATTTACACATATAAAAAGTGTTTTTGATAACAACTATTTAAACACTTTTATTTTATCAGAGTTACTTTTTAACAAAATCTATTCTTTAAAAATTATTTTCCGGTTTGGTTTTGTACAAACACCACTTTTCAAAGTTTCACGCCAATTGATGCGCTTGATCGAATACTTCTTTGCATCGCGGGGGGTATATTATATTATTATATAATATAATAATATTATAAATGCTGAATAGTTTTTTATTCAAAAAAATTAGATATTTTCTTTTTTTAAAAAAATAGTTAATTTCAATTCCCAATAAATTATTAGGACTAGAGCAGTTTTCACATTTTATAAAACTACTCACATATTATGAATCAACAAAGTCCTTGCATCATTTTTTAAAATGGGTTTTTCCAATTGAACCAATTTTTATTGGCTAAACAGATTTGTTTTGGTATCCAACTATGTGATTTTCAATGTTATTAATTAGTCTAAATTCAAGCTTTATAGGTCTAAATAGGAAGTAACTCTTCTAGTGTAATTTTCTAATTCACAAAATTCATACCCCTAAACTTTTTTAGGAGCATTAAGTTTTTTCTACTCAATCTAACAACTAGTGGTGGTGATAAATAAATTGTTTCTTTATGTAACTTAAATGACTAAATTTAAAAAACTTATAATTATATTTATACTTAATTAGATGAATGAAATTCCTGTAAAATAGAGAACTAATGATTTTTTTCATCTAAAAAGAAAATGGAACTAATGATTTAATAAATCTAATCAACATGTAATATTATAGACGTAGTTGATAAATTTTTATAAAAAATCATTTTATTAATAAATTATCAATAGAATAACTTATTTGTCAAATTTAATAACTACTCTCTCTCCGAAATATATAACAAATAACTATAAATTAAGAAGTTATTCAAAGTTGATTAAAAATAATAAATATTTAAACATATTTATTTTTAGAAAATACTCTTATTTCTAGGAAGATGGTGAGAGAACAAGTAGAAAAACAAGTATAATTAATATAGTATTATAGTAGGTAATCAATAAGGACAAAAAATTTTAAAAAAATTGATTAAATTAAATTTTAAAACATTTTTAAAATACATTTTATAAATTGACTAAATTCAAGTAAATGAATGACTCATAAACATAATAATTTGACTAAACTGCCCCTACATGCCATTAACGACAACTACCTGTAACCTCCCACAAGAAAGTTACCTGTCATCTTCTTCCTTCTCTATAAATCCCGAGTTCTCTCCTTTCTTTGTTCTTCAGAATCAGACTTTGTTTCTATTTTTGCAAAACGAAATGGGGTTGAACTCCAACACCAGAGTCGATCATTTTGATTGCCATGAAACCACTATCAAAATCCAAAACCACATGCCCCTGCAAATTCACTCTGTTCGCTTGCCTCCCCACCAAACCACACTTCAAAAACTAAAGCATAGGATCTCTGAGATATTCTTCCCAGATGATCCTTTGTTCAGATTCAAGAATCAAACTTGGCTCAGAAAATTGCTTCTGGGTATTCAATTTCTCTTCCCCATCTTTCAATGGGCGCCTAAGTATAATCTCAGATTTCTCCGTTCTGATATCGTCTCTGGCCTCACCATTGCCAGTTTAGCCATTCCTCAGGTCCCAAAAAGATTCCTCATTCTCTCTCTATCTTATGAATCTCTTTCTAAATCCAGAATTCTCGTTCATTGTTCATTGTTCATTGTTCATTTTGATCATTCATCGTGGTTTAGTACCCTGACATGTCTCATACTTGTGTAGCTTCCCCTCTTTTAACATACAGTGCTCTGTTTCATCAAAGCTTACTCTGTTTAAAAACTAAACCAGATTGAAAAATTTCTTGACCTTGTTTTGGTTTCTGTAGGGAATCAGTTATGCGAAGCTTGCGAATTTGCCACCCATAATTGGACTATGTTAGTATCCTCTGTTTTTCCAGACAGCATTTGAGTTAGAGATTGTGTTAATATGGTGAATCTGGTTTCTGAAGTTATGTTTATGAACATGATCATGCAGATTCCAGCTTCGTTCCTCCATTAATATATTCTTTGCTTGGGAGCTCAAGACATGTGGGTGTTGGCCCTGTTTCAATTGCTTCTTTGGTTATGGGATCAATGTTAAGCGAATCAGTTTCTTTTGTTCATTTTCCAACTCTCTATCTCAAATTAGCCCTTACTTCCACTTTCTTTGCTGGTGTATTCCAAGCTTCTCTGGGTATATTAAGGTATTAAATCTTTGCTTTCTCTGTTTTTTTTTCCTTTTTTTTTTTTCTGTTCATATTTGCAGAAATTATCGTATCTTTCCTGAACCATAAATCCTTCGTTATCAGGCTCCCCCTAAAAAAAGGAGAAAATGACGGGAACTTAGCGGTATAAGATATCTAATGACATAATGGATAGTGTAAAATGCTTCTTCTATCTCAATAACTATTTTTATATGGATAATTTTTTACCTCTCACTTCTGTGCCCATAGTGAAATCTTAATAGTCATCAAACTATTTCTTTTTTCTTTTTCATTTTTTTAATTAATACCTTCATAAGTCATGACTTTTAAAATTACTTGGAACACATGCAAGAATGTGTAAATTGAGTTAGGTGTTATAAAAGCATAACTATTGAAACCTCAACTCTTAGAGGACAACCAACTAATGTACACTTAACTTTTAGTTTTTTTTTTAATAAGATCTAAATTATGAAACTGTATTCGGTGAAAAAAATTGTGTGGTTTAAAAAAATTTGTTAACATTAATTAAAAGAATAGATATGTAAAAATGCATTTTTTTTAAAAATGTACCCTTATTCAAAAGAGGGTAGGCATAAGAGAGAAATAGTAAAAAAAATCACAAAAGAATATTATAATTAATTAGAGGTAAAATTAATTCAAAAAATATTAATATTTAGATAACCTCAAACTGAATTTAATAAAAACGAATTGACTAATTCAAAAACCTGAATTTTGTAAAAAAAAAAAAATAGCAGAGGAAAAATGTATAGTTTAAACAAAACCAAATTCTTATATGGTGTAGGGTTTATGGTTCAGACAAAGCTAAGTTATACCTAATTTTCAACCATATGCCAATAGCTCTTTTGATATCTAAAACTTGATAAGAAACCTTGTAAACCTTTAAATTTATATAAATAATCTCATCGTTCATTAATTTATATGTTGTTTTACCCATAGTATAATATTATATAATAGGAGAGATATTTTCAAGCGGTTTGGAATGAGCACCCAACCCTCATGTCCTTTGGACTGTCTAAATCTGATATAGGAAGTCTAGATTTAATATTTTTAACTAATTATTTTGAAAAATAAAAATTATTTTAAAAAAAAAAATGATATTTAAGATGATATTTTTGTTTTAGATTTTATACCCATTAAAATAATTATTTCAAAAAAAAAAAGAACAAAATATTAAATTTGAATCATCCAAATAGGGTGAGTTTTAGGCTTCATTTTAAAGATAATCACGCAAACTGGTTCGATTTATTTGCATAAAAGTTAAGGAGTTATTTATTGTTTACACCTAACTCAAAGTGAGGGTTTAGTTGCCAAAACAAACAAACAAACTTTAGAGGATTTTCTGTCATGTTTCATAGGTCAATGGGGTTATCTGATTTGAAAAAGTTATGGGGGTTATATATAATTATGCTAATATGAAATGTTCCATAAAATAGCAAGTGTTAATTGTTACACCTTTAAAAACTAATTGAGGTAAGTAATATTCACTTAAATGGTCGGTAGGTAACAAATAAAATGTTCAAAATGTTGAATTCTCTAAACATAATTCAGTTATTATTATAGACAGTGATGACTTGAAACTTGTGTTCTGATAACTATGCAGATTAGGATTTATAATTGATTTCCTCTCAAAACCGACGCTGGTTGGTTTCATGGCGGGTGCAGCCATCATTGTGTCACTTCAACAGCTTAAAGGGATGCTTGGAATTGTGAATTTCACAAACAAGATGCAAATAGTTCCTGTTTTGACCTCTGTATTTAAACAAAGAAGCGAGGTATATCTAAAACTTCACTTTTCAATCAAATTATGAAACATGCTTCTGATCTTAATAACCTTTAATGGCAACAAAAGGTATATAGAGAGATGAACCAAAACCTAGATAGACTGAACTTTTTAAGAGTAAAGTTAACTTTAAGAAATCATGATTATGCTCTGGAACTGTGAGCCGAAAGTAACGTAAATCTTGTTTTACTTTAGAATTATGTTGGAGAATCTAATTCGGGTTTTTTTCTCTCCAGGAGAATCAAGTGACCTTTTTATTTCCATTTTCAGATTCTATAAGTTTTTCAATAAAGTGCATAAAAGAGTTATATTTTAATACTATGCTAATTTACAAAGATTGTTCATTAAAGTATATGAGCATCTTGTTCAGTGGTCATGGCAAACCGTTACCCTGGGAGTCGGCTTCCTGGCCTTTCTGTTGATAACGAGACACATTGTAAGTCTCTACAATATATATATATATATATATATATATATTATAGTGTTATTTACTTTTTTATTAGTATTTAGCTTGTCAAAGTTTGAAATTCTGAAAATTGAAACAGAGCTTGAAGAAACCAAAACTATTCTGGGTTTCAGCAGCTGCCCCCTTGACATCAGTTATTCTATCAACACTTCTGGTGTACTGTCTCAGAAATAAAGCTCATGAAATTGCAATTGTAAGAAAGCCCATTTTCATTAGGATTTTTAACACTAAAAAGGACATGAAATTCTAATATTTTCCTTCGTTTTCTTTTCTTATGACAGATTGGCCACTTGCCAGAGGGCGTTAATCCACCATCATCAAACATGTTATACTTCAATGGTCAATATTTAGCACTCACTATCAAAACTGGGATTGTTACCGGAATATTGTCTCTCACTGTAATGTCTTATACCCGGAAACTTTTTCATGTCCTAGAAAAAGTTTCTGATAAACACACAGACTAGAACATATAATCTTTTGTTTCAGGAAGGAATAGCAGTGGGAAGGACATTTGCTACACTTTTCAACTACCAAGTGGATGGAAACAAAGAAATGATGGCCATTGGAATCATGAACATAGTCGGTTGTTGTACTTCATGTTATGTCACAACAGGTAACGATTTTGATTCTACTTGTATATATGACCAGTTGAATCTTAATGATTATTTGGTTTCACGTTGGAAACCATCAAACCTAAAACCAAACATGCTTTTTAGTTATATCTTGAAATCATCAGCAATGTTTGAGAAAATCTCACTTTCTGGTGTGAATAATAAACTTGCAGGATCTTTCTCACGATCGGCTGTTAATGTCAATGCTGGAGCAAAGACAACAGTTTCAAACATAATCATGGCTTCAGCTGTTCTAGTGACTCTTCTATTTCTCATGCCACTGTTTCGTTACACACCAAACGTTGTCTTAGCAGCCATTATAATCTCCGCTGTAATTGGACTAATAGATTTCCAAGCTGCATATAAATTGTGGAAGGTTGACAAGATTGACTTCTTAGCTTGTTTATGTTCCTTCTTTGGTGTGGTGTTCATCTCAGTACCTCTCGGCCTTGGCATAGCAGTAAGTTTTCTATATCCATTTAGATTAACTAAACTGTCAGAAATGGAAACATGTATTGATACGTTTTGTGAATGATAAATGTTCATTGGCTTGTTCAATTTGTGCAGGTGGGAATATCTATCTTCAAGATCCTACTCCATGTAACTCGACCAAACACTTTGGTTTTGGGAAATATTCCAGGAACACAGATATATCATAACCTAAACCAATACAAAGAAGCTTCAAGGATTCCTTCATTTCTCATTCTTGCTGTTGAATCACCCATTTACTTTGCTAATTCAACTTATCTGCAAGAAAGGTAAGGGAAGACTATTTGTAGAACTTCAGGTTCAATACATTGGGGATATACTTCTCTTTAGTAATTCTGGTGAAGAACTTGTCCTGTTTCAGAACACTGAGATGGGTACGAGAAGAGGAAGAGCGTGTGAAAGCAAACAAAGAAAGTACATTGACCTGCTTAATTTTAGACATGACAGGTATATTTTATGGACCAAAATTGTTACGCCTTTGTATCAAACTGACTTACCTAAAGTGGAAGATAGAGAAGAGAAGAGATAGATATATAATAATGAATATTATTTGTGTCTATTTCTCTCTACACTTCTCCCATAAAGGGATCCATGTTGAGACGTCATTTGTTTAAGGTTCCACGGTTATTCGGACTAACCATATTATTTTATCAGCTGTTACAGCCATAGACACAAGTGGGCTCGACGCACTTTGTGAACTTAGAAGGATACTGGAAAAAAGATCAATTCAGGTATAGTTAATATAGCAGATCTTTGAGGTCGAAAGAATATAAAAATAACCAAATTTCCAAAAATAAGCAAGTTTCCTCAATGGTTAGAATATGTTATGCAGCTTGTGTTGGTAAATCCGGTTGGAACTGTGATGGAGAAGCTACATCAGTCAAAAGTTTTGGAGTCTTTTGACGAGAAAGGACTGTATCTCACTGTAGCAGAAGCTGTGGCTGCCATTTCAATTCCTTGAGAAGCTCAGCCTCTTGTTCCATTGATGGCTTTTAAGGACATAGATTGATAACTAACAACATCTTTAGTCAGTTGGCTCTGCAGAGATTTTGGTCTGTGACAGAATCCCAAAGTTTATGGGTTTGCGCTTCGTTACAGCAGAGACAGTGAGAGGCCTAGTCTTGATTCAGGAGTGATTCTTCTTTGTGGGTCAAAAGAAAAGAGCGTCCAACGGCCAACTGAGATATTTGTAGGGCTTCATTCCCATGTAAATTTTGAAAGAAATGGATGCATGGCAGTCTTTGTTTTAAAAGGAAAATAGAAGTTATGGTTACAGGAAGAACGAAACACAAAAAAAAAAAACTAAGTCCAAATCACTCAAATCCTTACAACGCTAAGGGGGATAGTAAAAGGAACCAACGGAACGTTTTCCATTTAACTTACTGTATCAATGAGCACAATCGTTAGCCTCCCAACAGGTTTGATCAATTTTGGCGTTTCAATCCAATACAAAATTTCCTAATTTCTTTAGTTATGTTCTCTAGAGATAAGCCAACTGCTTTATACCACTGAGTGCCTTAGCAGCCACAAGCAGCTATTACATTTTTGACCCATCATTCCAAAATTCCAACATATCCTGAGTCCTTCCACAATACTCACTTCATTAAATACTTATTACGTTTCTAAACCCACCAGACCACCACTCTAACATATCTTAAATTCCTGATGCCTTCCAAAGCACTTCTGATTTCAAAGATCTAATGAAGGAGATTACTTTGACGTTAAATATAAGATCTTAGTTTACTTTACAATTTTTTATCCCAACTATACATATTAATTGCACATATTAAAAGGGATATTTTTTATTAAAAAAATTAACATAACACATTTTTTTATAAATAATTAACTTTACTAATTTTCTTAATATTTATAAAATAATTATTTAACCCTCGCATTTAAACTAAAGAGTAACAACTACCATTTGGTAAATTAATTCCGACATGATACAATTAGATGTGTCAACCTTCTTCACGAACCCTTTAATGCAATACTCCCAGGAGTTTATCTGGCCATTACAAGAACCTTTTATTGATTGATATTAGGAGAATTACAATCAAGTCTTATAAAAAAAAAAATAATTGCTAAAAAATTACAATAACAACCTGAGTAGCATATAATGACAAGTCTTATAGTAAAAAATAACATCTAAAACTTACTTTGTAATTTTTTTTCCGTGGGACTTGATTATAATTCTCCCATTGATATTTGACCAACCTTAAGAAGGTATGTATGGTAGATTTTTAGCTAGAAGAAAAATATAAGAAAATTTAATAAACCTAACCATACTATATCATTCCATTTAGAATTATTTGATTGCTTCAACAATTATTTACAAATCTGGCCGCAAAATTGAAACTAAATTAGTATAATGAAGTTTATCAAGATGCATCATCTCTTACAATAAATTCTAAGATTTTCATATTGATCTATTATATTCAAAATTGTTACAATTAGGCATTAATCAAGACACCCACCCAAGGACACGTCATTTATCATTTTATTCACCTTTGAAACAGTCACCAGCTCATATTGGATCTCAAGCATATCAATCACTGGAAAAACAACCCTTACTTGAGAAGGGCAGAAATGGGTTTCTAAAAAGAAGTAAAATATTGTTCAGGAAAAACAGGAAGGAAAACCATTTTAGACCGAAAGAAAGAAGAAAATTTCTGACCATGAACACATCAACTTATTTCTCCACTACATATTATTCAGATACATTAATGTGCCTTCAAACAGTAATATTATGCACCTCCATGACTTAAAAACAAAGGCCACGATAGATGGATTATTTGAAGATGGAGGGAGATGAATTTAAAGGCAATGATGTTGTTAATATCCTGAATCCTGACCACACAATGCAAATTTTTATTCCTTAACAGCTAGGACCACAGTTTCAGAATCCTAAGTGACGGCAAAAACCAGCAATTACAAATATGTTTCATGTTGAAAACCACCAAAACGCATCAAACCAAACCATGGACTAAATCATATAAAAGAAAGACCGACCTTTTTTATTTTTTAAAAACCTTTGCCTTTGGTTTTTTGCTTGGGGAGTGGGGGAGTCGCAGGCTATACAATAACAATAACAACAAGCCTTATCCCACTAGGTGGGATCGGCTACATGAATCATACAATGCTATTGTGTTCTGTCAACAACCCAGTCCTTAGATATGTTATTGACCAAGAGATCTCGTTAACATATCATTGTCGCAGACTATCAGTATACAAAATTAACATACGCTTTTAAGATCATAAACAGATCAGAAAACTCACAGAAGAAAAGGAAAATGAGAATAAGGAGGAAAAGAATTACTTCCATTAAAGTTTTTGGTGTTTCTTGAAAAATGGTGTACTAGTCTAGTGGGATTATCTATGCTTTCTAAGAAACCAAGGAAGAATTCGTTGGAGAGGGTAATTCTTCCAGTAGCATGAATAATCATGCAATTCATGGGCTTTATCTGGGAGATCATCCAAATTCAAAGCATAGAATCAGGTGCGGTTATGATCCCCGAACACAACAATTCTTGATTTCAACTCACTGTCAATCAAACATCTGCAACGAACTCAGTTAAGTCAAATCACAGGTAAAGCAATGAAACTGATTTCTTGCCAGTGCATCTATGTGTCCAAATAATCTTGGAGGTTCAAGAGGAAGAAAGAATTGCAGAATAGAACAACAAATTAACCAACATGGTTAGTTCAGTTCGATCAGAGAGAAAGAAAATCAGTTTACTCTGGATAAAAACAAAATTGAAATGAGTTCTAACATTGCAAAAATGTTCAGAAAGTGTAACAATAAGAATTCCAAAGGTAAAAACAAATTAAAAAATGGGGACAGCGGCAGTACAAAAAATGAGTCTACGGTCAGTGTATTCAATACACCAGGTTGACAAACTGATAATATTATTCTTTTTTAATGGCAACCCCACTGATATAATCACATTTGGTTAATGTAAGTACCATTTACCACCAAAACAAGCAGTGTTTTGCCAGGGACTGCCCCACCGAAGTTCAGTTCTAAAATGTTCAAAACGTTATTACCAAACACGCCAAGAGACCCGATCTGAAAAAGCATAATCATTGATCAAGATTGGGTCTCAGATATCTTAGGGCCGTGTAGGGTCAAGAAGTTTTAACCCAACTTAGCGGGGTTTGTTTGGCCAAAACCCTGCTCCAAATCTGACACTGTTACAGCCCAAATATGACATGAAACAAATAAAAGACATTTATAAGACAACATACCATGTGCATAGACAGATCTTCAAATGAAACACATCTCAATTAATCAACCATATAAATCAACAAAACCAGGTCAGCCAAACAGCCTTAAATGACAAGATTCTTACTTGAACGCAATCGTGTTATTGGTATCTCCCGGAGCTCACGTTTAATGCACAGATATTCACCTAACAATGCCATGATAGCAACCCCAGTACCATTCACAATCCACCAAGTGATAGAAGATGGCCAACCTCCATACACAATGCATATAAAAAGATGGATGATATAGAGGGTGGCTGAAAAATCCAAACATTTCTTTGCCCTTTCAATTAAATAAAACATATATACAGACCTGCAAAAATAAGATTGTAGAGTAAGTACAATACAGAACAGCCATAAAAATTCAGGTCTACAAACCAATATAAAAGAGGCATACAAACCCCGTGACACCCCATAACTGCCACAAAGGCCTTTCTTCATCCCTCCTCCAAATACGAACCCAAAAAAAAAAAAATCATAAAACATCATAGAAGCATTGGATCTCCCAAGAAATGGCCAAATATGGCCCAAAATCCAATTATTGTTTATGTTTTCATTTCCTTATAAAGCTGTAATAGTGAGAAATTTTCAGTTAACAAGATATAAGCAAACATAAAGGTCAGCCAGGTCTGACAATCACAATGTTGATATTTAAATTCAACCTATTACAGTATGCAACTCTTAGAAAGATTGACCTACTGCAGGAAAAAATAACTACAGTTCATAGGCTATATTTCAAACAGAAGTGGCAGACATGTAAAATCCTAGTAAAAGATGGATATCCTTCTCATTCATATGTAACAAAGCTCCATGACTTGACATAACAGCCAATAATGTTTTAGAAAGTGGGAAAAAAAACCCGTGGTGTTTAAGTTTTCTTACTGTACACTCACTAAAAAGATGTGGAAGACACCAAGTATCACTGTGAATAAATTACAAAAAAAAAAAAAAAGCTAAAATGAAGATCACCAAATACATGTCATATAACCAAACAGGAGAACCTACACATTTAAAGATAGCTATTTACAATAAATGAGACAATGTAATAGACAAAAGTAGAATAGATTGATACTCTTCCTTTAAGTTTATCATTAGAGGTGGCGTCTTCTTTTTTCCACTATAATATATTCCTATACCATTAACTGAATTTCGAACAAGGCGTAGGAAATATGCTAGTTTTGTAAATAATTAAAAGTAAAAAAGTGTCAGAAAAATATATCAAAGAGTTCATACGGAAATATTACATATTACAGAGGACTGAATATCGTGCATTTTAACCAAAACAGTCTGAAATTGAGCACAGTAGATAGAATTAATTTCAGAATGATAGCAATTATAAGCATGCAGACAAAACAATAAGATAAAGTTAAAAGAGAAGCAATACGAGTAATGCACAAGCTCAAGAAAATCCATATCCACAAAGTTCGATTTCACATCTGTATCATGGGAATTAGGTCACAAGCAGTTCAGATGAGCAGGAGAAGTTAAGAAATTAATGTGAAATGTTCATTATGGAGAATTCATATTTCAATAAATGATATGTCAAGGAGCATAGACACAACATACACTCAAAACTAACTGATTAACTATAACCTATTGACCAAAATATAATATATAATTTGATCAATTATGGCAAATTGATTACATAGTCATGAATTAGGATCACAATAACCTTATTGAGGCAAGAAAGTAAAGAATAATATTTACCCTGCAAAAGAGCTGAGCAGAAATGAGGCAATAACACACCAACCAGTAACCGTAGAGGTGGTGATGGTCACATAATCAAAGAAGTATACGAGGCTTAACCGAGATACGCGAGTCCCGACAAGTATCGACAAGAACAAGCCGAGAGTTATATAATATAAGCATTGAAGACAAACAATTTGAGCAACAATAAGCCAAGGGTCCCAGACCACCGCACCATAGAACATGACGGCAAGTTCTCAGACGCCTGATCTCCGAAACCTGAGGATGAAAATTTCCTATAAGAATAAT